TTTTTTTTTTTATTTTTTGGAGACGGAAGCGGCAGGCAGCAGTTCTGCTGGAACGCCTGGAGCGAGCGGGAGGGGTGCACGATAGCTGGAGGGTGGCAAATCTCGGCCTTCCTACAGCCGCCTTTTAATTACTACTCCAATAACAACAGTGGAGCTTGAACTCTCCCCCTCTTCCCCAAAATCGCCCAGCAGGTGTTTTTCAAAGGCCCCTTCGGCGCCTGTCGCGCTGCCCTAGCGTCCCTGCCTCCTCTCCTGCAGAAAGGGCCCGCTGCGTCAACTTCAACAGCAGAAGAGCAACAGTTCAAAAGGCTTTTCCGTCAGGACACCGAGAAGTCGTCTGTTTAACTTGGTTTCTAGGAAATTGATTGGCTCGATTTGAACAAACGTACCTTTTTCTATATACAACTTAATTGCTTTTAATTCTACATTTGTGTACTACAGACAGTGAATGCAACTTTGATGTAGCTGGATATCCAGTCACTTGGAATAAATCAACCCTGTACCTGGTTTGGACTTCAATAACACGCCTTCCCTTCCCCAGCTCCTGCACCCCCCTGCTAAAGCCTGTTGTGACTGCAGGGTGGATTGATGCCATCGCGAGCCTTTCTGGGGTGGTTAGTCCCCCCGAGGGAAGAACAGAACTGAGCTTTACTGTCCGCACAAAAATTGGCCGTGCCAGTTGCTCATGTGTTGAGGGAAGATGAGGCAGCGTTTGTTGTTCCCAGTGGGTTGCCTGCTCCCGTTAAGAATTCAGCGTAACGGGAAGGGTGTGCTTGGCGCGGGGCAGAACCGTCGCCTCGCTGCAGCCTTCTCCGGGGCTGTTCCATGCGGTTTGCGTTCTTGTTCTTTGGCAACAGAAACCTGAGTACCTGTAAAGAGCAGGTACGATGACAAGAGCAAGAAAGGCCACCCTCGCATCTGCGCTCAATGCTAAATGCGTAGTTGTTAGTCTCAGTTGTCTGATATAAACAACAGTTTAAATCCTGTTGATATGGAAGAAAGGAAATGAAAATATAAACACTTGGTCAAATATCTATAAAGATTATTTTGAATTCTGAAATACCAGGGCCCTTGGCTGCTACAGCAGCTTGGCCAAACGCTCTGTCAAGTATTTTACCATTATTATGTATGGGGCCATGGCTCAGTTTAGTATTTCTAAGCAGTGTAAAATTCTCTGTTGATTTTTTTGTTTTGTTTTGTTTTTAATAGATGACAGCTCAAATAGATGATTTGTCATCTTCCCCTTAGAAAGGGGGGGGGGTCAAGAGGAGGCAGCTTTTCTGGCCCCTTTGAGCTGCTGGGGCACGCTGAAAGCGTTCGCCAGGATCCCGCTCCCTCTCGCGGGGAGCTGCGCGGCAAGAGCTTCCAAAGAGATGTGACGACGGTGCAGGGAGATGGATGCAGCACCCGCAGGGAAAGATCGGGTTCTGTGCCGTGGTTTCTCTACAGTTACTGTTCTGTTAATTCTGGTCCTTGCTCTAGGTTTTAAACAGAATAGCTTCATCTCCGTTCATTTATTGGCAGTTCTGGGCTCTCCATGTTTGTGCATTAAGCATGGTTCTAGCCCAGGGATGAAGGTAAGCCTAGTCGCTACAGCTGGGCTTGTCGCAAACTCTCCAGTTTCATGACAAGAAATAACCCTCCTTTAGAAAAAGATAAAAATGCAAGAAGCAGGTTAACTAAAACCCAGATCACCACAGGATTCAGCTGCTGTAACTATTCCCCACTAACGGCCAGTGAGTATCTACTTCAGCTATCAGCAGACAAGTGAACCAAGTATGCTCCCATGGGGTACAACAACAGATAGAACAGCTCTAGCTTATTTAAAAGCTGTGGTTCTGTTTAAGAAGTGTACTGCTTTTGATGATCCAGTCTAGTATCTCAAAGTAAAGCACCTTCCGTGGGGGTTGCTTTAGGTCAGAATGCAATTTTCATTCGGTTTGGTACAGCAGACTTCAGGTAAGATGCTGTGAAGAAAGTGAGTCCAATTTGATCCTGTATCTGACATTTTTATAAGTAAGCAGGAAACTAAAATTTGTCTTTGATGTACAGCCAGCAATTATCCTTCATTAGCTCAGGTAAATTGTGTTCTCATTATCCTACTCAAGCCCCATGCTGTCACCCAGACCTGCCTGTCCTTGCTTCCTCCCCGAGCCTGCTAAGTGCCTGTCCTGTGACTCCTGCTGCAGTAAGCTGAACTATCATCAGCTTAACTTTCCTGCTAAACTACACAGGGAAGAATACTCTGCTTTGAAGAGTGAAAGTAAACAACAGCTTTCACAACACTGGAAGTCTTGCTAGCAGTTTAGACTAGGAGCCCAAATGAAGTAGTATCAGTTTTAAATCCTACCAGTATAGGTGGAGAAGGTTGTGGAGCTTGCTTAGACCACGTAAGAGCATGGCTTCTCACAACTACAGCGTAATAATGATGTTTCTTTTCGCAGAATCTGTGTCATTACCTTGGCAGAAGCCCATCCTCTTCTTCAAAGTGGAAAAACAATTAAAAGCATTAATTACCAAATCAGTGCCAACTGTAGCAGACTCCAGAATAAGGTCTCTGGGAAGTCAAAAAGGGTATGGCTTTTTGATTTGGTTAGTTTTCATTTTAATCTCTCGCACTGCCTGAGACTTTCTGTCCTTTCTAGGATAGAACCTTACCAAGTTACCTTTGCATTTTATTTTAAAACAGCCCCTCCACAGCTGAAGAATTTAGACTTTCTCAGGAGGTGCCTGTCTCTCTGTCCCAGCCAGGGTCTCACAGAGCTCCTGCAGCACTGCTGGTTGCCAGTGTTGCTCAAACCAAGGCTAACAGTCCCTGTTAATCATTTTTTTCATAGTGTACAGAAGGACTTGAACATCCCTGAAAAGATAAAAATTTGTTTCCACCAAAATGCTGAGGAGTTGGAGACTACTGTTTTTCTCAAACAGCCCTAGGTAGCAGATGGGCCAATTCAGTGTGTTTCATGGCGGGTTTTCAAATACGTGTAGTTTAACCTGCTTATACTGAAATCAACAGTGCTGGTTTTCTCCTCTCTCCCCTGATTTTAATCTGCTCAAACTACAAGTCTGTTATGCCACAAGAAACTTAATTGTGACTAAATTTGTAAGCTCTTAACAAGCTGCTATTCGATTTGTGCACATTACTAAGTTGGCATCTTCCCTTCTGTAGCAAAGCACAACTATGTAACTTGCAACGACCTGTACCTATCACACTCCCATGCTTTGTTCTGAGAAGCTTACAAACTTAAGTAAGTTGCTGATGGTAATACCTTAAAAAGCCCTGTGTAATTAAAAGTATGTATATATGTTTATTTTTCAAATGCAGGGAGCTCAGTTTTTAACAGAACTCGCCCCTCTGTGCAGGATATCTTCATCAGATGGAGAAGAATACACCATTTATAGGCAAGGTTTTTCCCTTTTTCTTCTTACCTTGACACACCATGCACTTCGACTGAATCTAAACACTTTTGCAGTTGTATACGGGGGCGACTGATAGAAGTGAATGAAAACATTCTTAGCAATCCCGCTATTCTGCAAGAAAAGGTAAGACACTTTCTTGCTTTTTATTTTCTAAACTTTTATTTCACTGCTAACTTCAGTCTTGCTTTTAGCCATCAACCGAGGGATACATCGCAGTGGTTCTACCCAAATTTGAAGAAAGCAAGAGTATAACTCAAGGACTTCTGACGCAGAAGGAGTACGAGGAAGTTTTGTTGAAACGTCTTAATTCTTCTTCATGAAATTAATTATACAGTTATCTGTATTTGATACTAAATAAGCTACTTCTATTGTACACTGTAACTTTCATGGTATTGAAAGGCCTAGAGCCTGTTTTTAAAAGTGGAACTTAAACACTTGATTCATATAAGAATAAACCAGTTCAAATAGTTTGTATATTAAAATTTGCTTTCTCTTTTTCTCTGAATTCTAGCACTACAATTTTTTAAATAAGCACAGAACGATATGTTGGAGAGTATTTATGTTCCACAGGCAGCTTTGCTTCTGCTCAGTGCAAGCATAATACGTACAGAAAAATCGTATGACTTAGCCATGACTTAATTTAGCTAAACTAATACAATATGAAGTTTGACAAAGGTGAATTGAAAATAAAAATGCAACAGAAGCCTACGTACAAAGAGCAGATAAAATTGAAAATATGTATTTCACACCAGGTTGTATTTTCATGGCATCCTGAAGTCAAATAATGCCCTTTGTACAGAAGTTTGTCATCTATTTTCTTAAATTTTAAATGGTATAGTGTAAAGTCTACATAACAGTTCAGTGCTTCTACATGCAATTCAAATTCTGCTCAGTAAGTTTTAATAAAAAAGGAAGCAACAACTGCCGTCTACAAATAAAGATGGTAAAAGAAAAAGGGGTTGAGTCAAGAATACTAATCACTTAGAAATACACTTTTGGAACTATGAATCATGTCAACAAGATTAAAATTCAGCGGTGCAGCTATTGAAAGAGGTTTTTTTTCCTAGAACTACTTCACTGTAGGTATAACTTGTAACTAAGATCACATTTCAGTGCTTTAGCCTTTCAGACTATATTCCTGATTCTGCTTTATCAAATACATAGACTGAAATAGGCCAGAGATGAGTTTACAGACTTCAACAGTAGTGTTACATATAGCATATGCAGCACAAGGTTCTTTATATAAAATGTCTATTAGCAGCATCTTTGGGTTGAAACATCCATTAAGACATTCATAAGCATTAATTACAAAACCGGTATCAATAGTGAGCATAGGAAAGGCATTCACATTATAAAAATACGTAACAATTAGGCTAGTTGGTGGTGTAATTGCTAAGTAATGGGACATCTATTAGATGTGACAAAGGTCAACAGTTTTAATTCAAATTAACCTGGTTTGACTTTCCACAAATGAAAGCAATATCGAAAATTCAGCAAGTGTTATTTTCAAATGGGAGTTCCTGCATTTCTAAGTGCTATAATTACTTGCTCTCTAAAAACGTCATGTTTGTTACATGATTTTCTAAAGACTTGATGCCAAATGTCTCAGCTCTCCTTTCTGGAGTATGTGCATTTGTACCAGTTCGCATTCTGTCTTCTCTCCACGGTGGAGCAGGTTTAAGACAGCCATTTCCTGCTTTATTCTGTATATTAAAAAAAAAAAAAAAATTCTTAAAAACAAAGAAAAGAAAAAAACCCCAACAAATAACAACAAAAAAACCAACAAAAACCCCCTTTAAAATACTGCAGATGAACCAAGTACCTTTCTCAGTAATTTGCAGCAAAGTGGAAGAAGTTGGCACAACAGAGTCATCACGTTCCTTGTTTTCAGAATGCATGCATCAACCTAAACAAGACAATTAAGAGTAGTGTAAGACCACTCATTACTTTTATTAGTCAATTGTTCAATGCATGAGATGATAATCTATTTCAAACTTGAATAGGTAATGTTTGTCCTTCATAAATCCCTTCTAATCAAAAGGCTTTGCCTACCTTTTTTGAATTTCTCTATATAGTACGCATAAAGCAACAGCATCCCTTCTGTTAGCCGAAGACTTGAGCTAGGAAGCAGAAGGGAATGACATACATCCCAGGAGAAGGAACTAATAATAATATAATATTAAACAGTAATAGAAGTGTCTTGGAAAGGAGCTCTTGCCATCTAAGTATGATTCATCACAATTCTTCATGTTTTTCCTTTTGTTTTATGTCCTGTCAGCATGATTTAGAAAGCCATGCATCATGTAAGCCTTACCCTGGTACGAGTTACACTAAAAGTTAGCTAAATCTTAAAGCACTTGAGTTACACCTCAGGTCTAACCCAGCACAGGTCACAAGTCTGGGTCCTCAACAAACATTAGTTTGATAGCCTGTTATCACTATGTAGTGATACATCACTCTGTATAAACAGACTGGAGTTCCCATTTACTTTAGCTAGATAGTGTAAACCAAATCAAGCAGTAGCCCTGAGGTGCTCAGTTTGGTTTTGAGTGGCTTGGATGCTCTATAGCCAGTTTCAGTCCCTGCTGTAATATTGAAAACATCTTTTCCATAGCTCATTGGAAACAAACATCCAGGTGCACAGAAATGGTCTTGCTCACATCGATCATACTGCTGCTCAGGGATACTTAAAAAGTTCTTCAAAAAGCCTGACCTCTATTCCCTGCTAAGGTTTGCAGATCTACTTCTCATGGTAACAATGCCAAAGCTTTTATGGTAGCTGTATACATATTTACTTGTAACAAATACGAATAATATCAGAATAAGCTACCTACCTACCAAGAAGCAAGCATGTATTTCAGTAACAGAGTCTTTGGGGTTTGGAATTTGTTACATTTATGTTAAGCATCAATAACAACAGAATAACAATAATTATTACAGTGGTGGAAATACAAATTACCCTCATTAATACTTTGATCACTGAAGTCTTTTCTTAGTGAGGTACACTTAATTACAGTGCATATCTCTCTGAATGAAGTTCTAGTGGATTACAGTATTATTATATACAGTATTACTCCATCTCATATTATTCAGCTGAAAATTCTCAGTTGCAGCATGATAAGATTCCTGTACCTCTCTTTATCTAGTGAGTAAGTTGAGGGAGTTGTTGACAGAAGTTCTTTGAAAAGAGTTCTCAGCAGCAAAAAGCAATATAAAGTAGTGGAAGCCTATGGACAGCTGTCCACATTTGGGTTTTTTTTAAGAGCAGTCCAGGAACATCATTGTCTTGGGAAACATTTCTGTAAACTCTTTCACTAACAGTGAAATCCAAAACCCAAATAATAATTTCAGTACTTTTAGTAGCAGGAAAGAAAAAAATCCTATGACTTATTTTACTGATTCTTAAGACTCTAAAAATGATAAGCTAGGGGTAGGGAAACTGTTCCTTAAAACATTAATATCAATGATCTGTCCGTGGCCACTGGGCCAGTTATACGTAACAGATATCCATGCTCCCTAAAGAAAACATTCATATAAGCCTGTAGAGTAATACTATCCAAGCTATCCACTGGCAGGCTTCCACATATGCTGGGTGCCAGTGTCCCATATTTTGCCTCCTATCAAACTCTCAGCATGAATGAGGGTGTCAGGTCTGGATAAACTTCACTGAAGCCCTTCTCTGGTAGTGGGGAAAAAACAAGAAAAAGAAAAAAAAAAAAAGCTAGAAAACAGTAGCACCCACGCTAAGAAAAATCCCTTCCTGAGACAAGACAGTGCAGTAAATGGCTTGGATTACAGTCATCGCCGATGGATGTCCCAACAGATAAAACATTTTCAGCAAAGGGAACAGTTCTTGCTGTTCTTCCTCTATACTTCATACATCAGCTTCTCAAAACGTGCCAAGTGCAAAACAGCACTTCAGGTTGAAGTAAATTCCTCTTCTACATAAGGAACACCAATGATGACATACTGCACAGCAGAAAAATGCTTGCACAACAGCATAAAATTTTGTACTTATTAATTTTTATGGTCCTCTCTCAATCCAAGATGTTCAGCTGTCATGAACTGTTTCATATTTTAACAGGAGCATAAATTTGTAAGTTACTATATTTCAAAACAAGTTAGGTTTTACTTTCAGGATTATATATAATTTTTGCCTTACCTTCGTAAATGTAGCACTTTTACCCTGAACAGAAGCCTTAGCTGTTATCTGGAGCTGCTTGCACATAGAGATCAGTTTTTCAGCCTCCAACAGAAGCAAAGGTTTGTCATCATCACGTACCTGAAATGTGTTTCAGGAAGACAAAACCACTCTGTGTTTAAAAACTCCAATATTAAGTTAATGGAGAAGACAGCACAACCAGCTTTTAAGCAGTATGACTAGTGTCATAAGCTGAATGGCTGTTTGAGAGGTCATACATCACCTGATCAGAAAAGGCATGAAGAGCTGAAGCAAGCTTTGTGCCCTCTGTAGCAAAAATCTGAAAGGGGGAGAAAGCATGTAACAAAATGAACCACAATGAAAGATGGGGATCTTCTTCCTTGTTGTTTTAGTAAATCGTGTGCTATAAAGTAAAAAGCAGGAAATATTTGTGATAGTTGTTTACATTTGTAATTAACAAGTCAGCCATTTGCAGTGACTTCTGAAATAACAAGCTACACTACAAATTGCCATTCTCCCAGATAAGCAAAGTTTAAAGGCTTTACCTTTACGTATAAAAAAACCTGACCTCCAATTATTTTTTGCACTGTAGCAGCTCACAAGGGTTTTGTGGGTAGATGACACCTGCCATGTTTTTTTATTGTCCTGACAAAGATAACCAGTCTCCTGTTAAACACAGGCACATATCTTGGAAATACCATGCCACATTCCTTCATTTGGCTCCTTGTCTTGTGTTTGCATTATTCAAATGTTTACACCTTCTTTCTTTCCCATGAAAATACTGCTGCTCAGACTAGGATGAAGCATCCGTTAACACTATCAGTGACTGAGCTAACTGACACAATAAATACTACTAATGCACTGAAGTCCGCCATAATGCCAGGTTGCTATTCCTACCCCTAGCTGGAATCTGTCAGTTTAATGAACACTGTCTTAATCTACTACTAGAACACTGAGAAGTTAGCTTTCGGGAAGTACGTACTAGAGTTAGGCTGCTTAAAATCTACAGTTGCCAGTCTGGTACACTGTACTTATGTGTAAGGAATCAGAGAGTTAAGTTCCAATTTGTTCTTCATTCAGAGTGCCTAACTCCTGTGTTGTTAAAAATGTATTACCTCTGCTTGATGAAATAAATCTTGAGTAGTTTTCAGAAGTCCT